GAAGCTCGCTCCACTGCTATCTCCTCTTGCACTGATCTGGACAACCCTCCCAACCACACCCAAAGGTGTTGAAGACCCCACCTTGCACACCCGTCACCAATCAGGTAACTTGCCCATATTCTAACTCCCACCTTTTTTCCTTAACCCTTTCCTGTCTTTCCTACCCCCCTCTCAACCTAGTCATGTCTGCCCTGCGCTATTTTTCTTTTTCTTGCTTTTCGCTATGGGCATCTCTTTTATTTTCAATGGCATGATAATGCACTTAACCAATGCATCTTAAATGCATATTAAATGCATGTTGTAGCACATCACAATGTATTACTTTGGTGTGCTGCATCCAGGACCGGTGCTTCCACTAGGCAAACTAGGCAGCCGCCAAGGGCGCACTGCCACCTAGAAGCGCCTGGGCACAGCACAGGCTGGCACTCTCTGTGTGGGATGCCGCCACATCATGAATGATCCTTCAGCTGAGAGGAGGGGCAGCAGAGGGGAGGAAGAAAGGACAGAGGAGGATGCCAAGTGTCTGGGGCCAGTGTAGCAGCCGAGCAATCGCTCCTTACAGTGTTCCTCTCAGACTCAGTCCCTTACCGCAAGGCGGCTGGCGGCTGCTGATCACTGTTGAGTTCCAGGTCTTCTCTTCCCATTCATCAGTGGAGGCAGAGCTGCGCCTCCAGAGGAATGTAATGTCTTACTCTGATGTCTGTGTGAGTGTGACCCAGACAGCCGGCCATCCATCACATGTGCAATGTGTCAATGAGTGATGACATCATCACAATCCCACCTCCTGCTCTTCTAGTGCCTGCTGGGCATGCTGATCTGTGTCAGTGTTGGTGGTGGTGTGTGTGTTTATGTCTTATCTGTCACTGTGTGGGATCACTCAGTTCAGCTGCCTGCTGTCACAGCGTTTTATTTCCCCCCATTGCCTGCGGAATTCCAGCCTGGGATTTGTCAGAGTATGGATCCATCATCCTCAACTCACTGCAATTGTCACCCTGCCACTGCTAACCACAGATACAGTCCGTCCATGACATTGCTTTTGTCTTTAATATTGGTGCTGGCAGCATCTTATGGCACTTATTTTTGCAAATTAAAAGAAATTTAGAAGTTTCATGCTTTGTTGATTTAATATTTTCTACTGTTTTTAAACTTTTTTTTTTTGAAGGGGGCACAAGTAGCTGGTCTTGCCTAGGGCGAAAAATAGTCTAGCATCGGCCCCGGCTGCATCAGTAAAAAAGGTGCAAGTACGTTTTTAGTTTTGTTATGGTGCTTTGGTAACCCATTTAAACTAATAGGCTGTTTTAAGCAAGGCATTTTAAAAGGCACAACATTGGCTTGCACATGTGTGAATGAGCCCTTATTCACACCTTTTGGTCTGTTAAGTATTCCATTAAAAATATTTTTTTATATATGTTTCTGTCCCACTACTTTTGGTCCCTTAACAAGTGGGAGGCACATATGCAAACTGTTGTAATTCCTACACCGTTCACCTGATTTGGATGTAAATACCCTCAAATTAAAGCTGACAGTCTGCAGTTAAAGCACATCTTGTTCATTTCATTTCAAATCCATTGTGGTGGTGTATAGAGCCAAAAATCTTAGAATTGTGTCGATGTCCCAATATTTATGGACCTGACTGTATATCTATCCACCCCCCCCCCCCCCCCCCACTTCCTTTCTTTTTCCTTTTCTTTCCTTCCCATTTTCCATTTCTTGTCATCTTTCTTTTCCCTTTCTTAATTCTCTCTTCTTTGGATAAAATGATTCTCTCTGCTTCATGACTATGCACCACATTTGTAGAGTATGTTAAATGTGTGTTAATTGATACCCCTTTTCTTATGGGAGAGTGAATTTTTCTGAATGAGAGCTTCACTGTTTGCTGTTTTGTATCTTTATGGCATTTAAAATAAAAATGTATTGAACAAAAAAAAAAAAAACACCATGTGCACGTTACAGTTAATCAGTATATTTGATCACTGTTATTCTTTTTAACATCATTATGTTTTATCCCAGTTAAAAGGGATTATGGAAATGATGTTTTGTATTTTTTTTTTCTATCAATCAGCTGCTCGAGGTGAGTTTGTTCACTGTGGTGGTTGTCTTTTCGCTAAACCACTTAATGACAGCAACTTTGTTGAAATTGCAAAGAAGAGTTTGCTTAAATTCAACAGTGAGAGCAACACCAACAAATACTTTCTTCTTGGAAATATCACAATGGCAGCAGACCAGGTAAGGATGGCTACTAAAAGACATTAATTCAACCATGCATGGTTGTTAAATTATCATTTGGAATCTGGAATTAAAAAAAGATTTTTCACCACTGCCTGTGACATGATTTCTGATGCATTGCTGTCAGAATCAGGGGTCATAGGTCCTGACTGTCTTTATTTGTCGGGCAAGCTATGTTCAAAGAACAACTTTACTCTTTTTATTAAAATTAAATCTGAAGGGAAAATAGCCAGTACAAACTTCTGTCTGATTACTTATTTATGATAATAAATAAATAAATTTTATATATATATATATATATATATATAATAATATATATATATATAAAACAAGGCTTTCTTTGGCAATACTTTCTTGCAAAATAACTTTCCTATGAAACCTATTGACAGGAAGAATTAACTTATTTTTTAGCTTGACCAATGGAAGTTGTAAAATATAAACATACATACATAACATGTTGCCATGTATAATGACACTAATGCTACAATTTGGTAAAAAGCATAATAGCATTATTTACAATAAATAAAATACTAAAATACTATTTAAAAATGTTGTGTATGACTAAAATCCATAACTAGACATACCTCGCAATAAATTAAAATAATTTAGTGTGCAATTTATTCAGATCTGCATATTTACAGCCTTGTTGCTATGGGTATATCAGCCTGTATGTCTGTTGAGCTGAGCTGGTATTTCTGTGGCATATATGCTTTTTTCTTTTTCATTTGCTGTATTTATAAATGATAAAATGGTCAAAAAACTGTGGATCCAAACTCAGAAAACTAGGACTTTAAGCAAACTGCCAGTGGATTGATTCATTCTTTGTTAATCTCTACTTCTATAATGTTCTGTTTATCCAAAGGATAACAAGACAATTCAAAATGCACATTAAAATTACATATATCAGAAAGCATAGTAATAGCCTCGAGTTCTCTTTTAATTTTGTGAAAGTGAATAAAAAAAAATGCATCGGGGTCTGCACCATCTGTTAAGGGTTGTTGGCAAGAACCATAAAAGCACTCATCTTTAGTTCAAATGAAGTTAGGAGAACAGAATAAACTTTCACAGTAGCTATTTATATTATTGGTTTTGTTCATGTTGAAAATTTCTAGGTAGTTGCCGGAAAAGCCTATCACGTACAATACACCATCCAAGAATCTACCTGTAATAAATCAGCTGAAGACATTTCCCAGTGTGAGCCTCTTGATTGTGAATTCGCAGTAAGTACTAACCAATGTATAAATAGAATCAAAGAACCCAAAAACAAAAATGTAATATATTCCAGCTTATCAATCATTAGATGTGGTGGCGGCATCAGTTTTCTTTTCTTAGACTTTTCCCTCTGTTTTCACCTGGTGATCTGGCCAGTAACACACCTCCTGTATTAGATAGCCTGCATTCTGGATGAATGAGCACAGGGGGCACCTTTTTGACAGCAGCATTGTCAGTTGGGAAAGGGGTGTGTGTTACCTTTACTAGGAGATTTAAATACACTAACATTGAAGTCAAACTCCAGCTAATATTTTATAAACAGTTTATAAGCAGTTACTGCAAAGTTTTCCATAAATAAATAAAAGCTGATCATTGTAAGTAACCGCTAGTGTTAAATGGTTTGTCTCATCTCTGTAACTGAAACATTCTACTGGAGAGCTTGTTCTTTTGAAAACAAAAAACAGACTAACTGACCAGATCAACAGATGAAAATAGAAGAAAGACAAAAAGAGAAAACTAATACAGTCATCACATCTAAGAACTGGAAAGCTGCAATAAATAATATAATGTTTGCCTTTGGATTAAATGCCACTTCATATCATGGACCTGAAAGTATACTTCCCTGGGAAACCCAACAGTCCCTGAGCAAGTGACAATTTGAGTGACTAGTAGCTTACATGGGGTGGTTGAATGCAGTGGTGTATTTAGGTTTCGTGCCCAAGGCAACACAAAAATCGGCTTCCCTCCACCACCACCACGGAGAGACCCTGACACCAACCAACACCCCCCTCCCCCATGAAGATGAAGAGAGCCTGACATTGACCAACAACACCCCCCCTAAGTGAGATTTCCACTACCACCACCCCCCTTACACTGGCAACCCCACCCCCCAACCCCAGAAAGAGATAGACATTCACCTTCACAGCTCCGGATATCCCCAGGAACAAGAGTCAGGCTCTGCATACACCATCAAGAAGCCCGCAGCCTCTCTCACCACTTGATCCCCATGCTGCGTGTGTTTCTTTTTCCATCCCTTCTTTCGGGGGACGGCACTGCCCCACTGAAAAATGCTGCTACCCCCCCCCCCCCCCCCCCTGAAAAATACCGCCCTGGGAAAATGCCTTGTTTGCCTTGTGGTAAATACGCCCCTGGCTGAATGCAGTAGAGAGAGAGAGTGAAGAAATGGTTATTATGTGCTGAGGGATGGAAATGGAGGATAAAATGAACCTGTTGCTTTGTCCAGCCTGGGTAAATACATTTTCGCATTAAGAGTCATTGATTCTGTCTGTGATCATAAAGGATAGGAGTTATACGACTTCCGGCATCCCCAGCATCTTTAACGTGTTTTTTTTTCCTGTTGGTGCTGTACATCATATGCTTGCTATATAAAAAACACTGTCTAGTGTCTGAATGGGAGCTTCAAGTCTATGGGAAAAAACAAATGCTAAGGTGCTTTTTGTATGGCTGCATGCTTGTTATGTCTCAGGGACTGTTAAAGCCATGTTTTTTTAAGAAACTTTAAAGTGTTACTAAACCCACAACAGTAAAATCAGTCTGTGTATGCAGTAGCACATGCTTGTTATACTCACTGTGGAGCCTATGGGGTTAATCCTCTGCATTGTGTAAAAAGGCTGTTTGATCCTGATCCTTCTCTGATCCTCCCCGTCTTCTAATGTCCCCAATCCATCTGCTGATAGTACAGATCCCTAGGAGACACTCTGCACATGCTCAGTTTGGTGTGTATTGCTAGAGAAATGTTCTTTTTTTGGGGTGAGGGTGCATGTGACCAGCGGGTCAGAGGTCACACAGGCTCATAAGACAGTCAGAGGAGAATGAAAACTCCTCCTACAAGCTTTAACCAGTGCTCAGCTGGATACTGCTGGAAGTCACAAGACTGCTATATACTGCTGACTAGAAAAGGTATTTAGCAGTTTATATTTACTAAAAAAATTGCATTTCCATGTTCTGTGTTCTGTGGGAGACCAGATATAGTGAATGCAGGGTCCTGGGTTTAGTAACACTTTAAATGCTGAATCACACTTTTATGTGGCGATAATGAGCATGTTACTGAGTGCTTAAACAGAATGCATGGTAGTGCTTGTTGATTCAATGAATTTTAAATGGCACCCCAACACAATACATCTGTCTTGTAGCGTGCCACAATGCATGGCAACACAACGCAGGCAGCATTTTGATTCCACTTGAAGATTGTACCCTTGTAAATATTACTATAAAACAGGGGCGGACTGACAACTCATGGGGCCCCCGGGCAATAAGGGATCATGGGGCCCCTGTGTCTTTGCCCAAACTCAAAAAAGCCTATGAAAAAGGTGCCAGGGGCATCTCATGGGGCCCCCTACTGACCCCAGGCCCTCGGGCAGTGCCCGAGTTTCCAAATGGTCAGTCTGCCCCTGCTTTAAAACCAGAGGTAAGAAGAATTTAGTTTACACATTACTTAGAGCTGCATTTTGCCAGGGGTGCTGAGCTGGTATCCCTGGAGGATGTATACTTTTATTTTCTTTATTAAAAAATGGTCAAATGGTCAAAACAAACACAACGCTTTGCACATCTTTTGTTTTTTTTTATTCTTTATTTAAATTGATAGCCATACACCAGAATTGACCATGCAAAAGTGAGGTTAGGACATTAGCAGAAAACCTTAAAAAAACAACTGTAAGCATTGACATGTGCACCAATAGGGTATAGAGAGACAAAATATGATCTCAGTAATAGCACATCTTTTGTTTTGATACACCTGGAATGTTTTCAGCTGAAAGTTCAATTGTACTTTAAGTGTGTTCTCATTTTTTTTTATGATTCTCCTCCTTTATGTGGATGTGAGTGGTTAATTTTTCGTGCAGTCTAGCTATCACATCAAGAACATTTTCCACTACAAATATTTACACACAGCATTAAAAAGGATGATCGTTTTTTTATTTTTTTTACACTGGAAGATACAGCATTTACCTTACATCCCATGATGTTAATAAAAATCATTTTGTTGGATAACTAAGTTGTATTGGGATCTACCAAAAGGTGTAGTAATTTGCATACTAAAAGACATACCTTTTCTTCCCCCCCCAGCACTCTGGTTACTGTACGTCTCTAGCTGTAGCACACTGGAGTACTCCAAATGATAGGGAAGTGAAAACTGTCTCCTGTGAGATATTTGAACCAGAGGTATGAGATTTGACTTGTATTTTGTTTCATTATCATAAAACTAACATCTTATTTATTATGGCTATTGGCATTAAAAATACACAAATGGTGCAACCGGAATGTGAAGACAATCAGTCGTGACTGGGCTTATGAAAGAATTTTTATATTTAGCATTTAAAAACATATTACTGTAAAATTGTACTTAGAAAAATGTCTTACACTTGCTTTATTCGGCTTTGCCTAATTTGTATTAGTTTTAAGTTTGAGGTAACCGTGACCTGAAGCCTGACATAGTATAGCCTGTATAGTCACCTGCCTGACCTTACAAACTGCCAGCTCCAGGGATTGCATAAAATATCAATTTACAGGCCAGGAGCTGTTTACAGATTCTCTTAGCTGCTGAGCTGTTATTTCAGTATAGAATGGACTTCCAAGCTGAAAGACATTCTACGAAGTTAGACAGATCACATGGAAGCATAGAATACTGATTCTCCAATTAACGTGTCAGACAACAAAAAACTAATTAGGGGGAAGAATAAAACTTTTTTATGTAAGCTTGCACACTTATAATAATTTGAGTGACTATTCACATTCTCACATAAGCCAAGTTTCAACTGTTTTTGTTTATTGGGATATTATAGATGTCCATAGGGCAGTGTTGATATGTCATAGTTAGTTTTTAGACATTTCTAATCATTTTGTTATACCATGGTAGATTCTCAAAATTTACATAATGTGCTATAGTAGAGTATTCTACCATGTTATCCATCAAAAGCATTGAACAGTGCAAACTATAGTATCCAGCATATACAAATTAATGAAGTATACAGTGAGAAGGACTGATCTGAGCATTTAGCACATCTGACAAAAGGTAACTTTTTCCCCTTAGGAATTTTATATACACTGCTCAAAAAAATTAAAGGGACATCTTGAAAACATATCAGATCTCAATGGGGAAAAATATCATGCTGGGTATCTATAGGGTAATGTGCTAGAAATGTAAGGATGCCCCCATCGTTTGATGGGAATGAAAATTATCAAACTACAGACGACAGAATTCAAAGACACCCCAAAAGTCAAAGTGAAAAAATGATGATGCAGCAGGCTAGTCCATTTTCCTGAAATTTCATTGCAGCAACTCAAAATGGTACTCAGTAGTTTGTATGGCCCCCACTTGCTTGTATGCATACCTGACAACATTGGGGCATGCTCCTAATAAGACGATGGATGGTGTCCTGGGGTATTTTCTCCCAGACCTGGACCAGGGCATCACTGAGCTCCTGGACAGTCTGAGGTACAACCTGACAGCATCGGATGGACTGAAACATGATATCCCAGAGGTGTTCTATTGGATTTAGGTCAGGTGAGCGTGGGGGTCATTCAATGTTATCAATTCCTTCATCCTTCAGGAACTGCCTGCATACTCACGCCACATGGGGTCGGGCATTGTCGTGCACCAGGAGGAACCCAGGACCCACTGCACCAGCGCATGGTCTGACAATGGGTCCAAGGATTTCATCCCGATACCTAATAGGAGTCAGGGTGCTATTGTCTAGCCTGTAGAGGTCTGTGCGTCCCTCCATAGATATGCCTCCCCAGATCATCACTGACCCACCACCAAAACAGTGATGCTGAACGATGTTACAGGCAGCATAACATTCTCCATGGCTTTTCCAGACCCTTTCATGTCTGTCACATGTGCTCAGGGTGAACCTGCTCTCATTTGTGAAAAGCACAGGGCACCAGTGGTGGATTTGATGCTATACTCTGATTAAAAAGTGATCCTTTAATTTTTTTGAGCAGTGTAATATAACACACACACACAGAAGTGGAAGCAAATAAATCCTTCCTAAGTTTAAAGTGATTGTATAGTCAGAACAGAAGGTTTTTTACCTTCGTGCATTCTATACACGAAGGTAAAAATCCTTCTGCATGCAGCTACATCCCCCCCTTTTATACTTCTTATACTCACCTGAGCCCAATCTCGATCCAGCGATGTGCATGACAGCAGAGGCTCTCACAGTTCTCTCACTCCTGTGAGAATCATTGCACAGAGCAGGTACATATCACATGTTTCTTATTTACAAAAAAGCAAAGGTTTAAAATCACTTTAATGTAACAATAGTAAAATCACAACATTTGACTAATGTGCCACCACTAAGAAATCTAAAGAAACTGCCACAGATTTTGTGTAATAAATTAGCCACATTTGAAAATGAACATTGCTCCTTGTGTTTACAAAAGTGCTCTTTAGCACTTTTGCCTCAATTTTGAGGTTCATTTTTGTTGTTAAATAAGTGCTCACATCTGTGACACAGCTAATAATATAGATTTACAACTGGTATTTGGTTATAAATCAAACCCAAAGATTAATGCTGACAATAGCATTAACCTCCCTAGCGGTATTCCCGAGTGTAGCTCGGGGTAAAATGTCTATACCAAAAGCGGTAACCCCGAGCTACACTCGGGCTTACCATGCAGCGCTGCATAGGGAGTCCCTACAGCACTTCCCTTGTCCTTGGCTCCCGCGATGATTCAGCATCCCCGGCCATCTCCTCCGGCTGATGCCGGCATCCGCCTCCTGTGTTCCGGTCCCTGTGAAGTCGGGACGTACGGGCGCCGCAGGCAGCGGGAAATTTGAAAATTTAAAAAAAATTTAATTTTTTTCAAAACAATTTTACATAGTAAAACATTGCTGTTTCAAACCATTTCACATACATTTTGTCCCTAGTGCTTTGTCCTGTCCCCTGTCTGCATTTTGATTGTTCTTTCTGCCTGGAAATGTAGAAAAGTCCATGGCGTCCAAAAAGTGTCCCTTTAGGTCAAAAGCGGGTTTAGATCAGCTAGAGAACACCGATAGTAAATCAGAACCACTTGCAGAATTGAGTGATAATGATTCGTGGAGAAATTCGTCATCAGACACTGAAAACAATTTTGCGACTTTGCTCAGCGATGTGCGAACTTGGAGCTATATTTCAAATTTCAGTGTTTTTGGTTTGATTATATTATTGAATTAAATGTATGATTTAGAATCTTGTTCAGACAGATTTCAGTGAGTTATTCCTAAAAATTACAGCCTACAATAAAAAAAACTACATATTTCCATGCAAAATAATGGTACTGCTTTCAGCACCAAAAATCTGAAATAATCATACCGCTAGGGAGGTTAATACTAGCACTCAAAGTACTCCCTATTTGATACGCAATTGAATTAAAGTGTATTTATAGCTAAAACTTTCTTTTTTTTTCAGTTTTGGATAGAGTGTGGAAGTCTTAACCCCTACCAGGTTATTTTTACTGTTTGTGTATCATTGGGAAAGCTTTCTTTTGTTTCGTATTGTAACCATGGTACAGGAAGTTAGGAAATTGTCCAAAGAGGAACGTTCCCCTCTTAAATAACCGTCTTCAGAATGGGGATTCCCACTGGAAGGTTTCCTCTGACCATTTATTCTAGGGACAAATTTAAAATGTTGGATTTCCCCTCTCTTTGTCTTTTGGTGATTGGTGATTTTCTTTTTCTATTTTGACTGCAGGCTGAAAAGGAAAATCCATATGTGTATGGCCAGCTTTATATTGTGCCATTCTCTTACAGAAGGCTATATATTCTTTTCAAATTACTGAAT